CTTCCCAGTTTTGCAGTGTGTATGGTTTATATACGAATGTGGTTTTGAACAGAATATTAAAGTTATTAATGTTGATGAATTAATATCTCTCTCTTTTGCTCTGCCTCTGTTCTCTCCACAGTGTCTTCAGTCATAAAAAATAGAGATAGAGTAGGGTCCAAGAGACCACATTGAAAATCTCAGACTTTCTTAATTTAAACTGGGAAATAAACACCAAAGAAATGTCTGATAAGTAAAGAATAAATATTCAACTATTCCCTATTTCTAAGACACCTTTCAAAATAAATGTAAGCAAATTTGAGATTTGTCCATGTCCTATTTGCACAAAATAGTCAGGTTGTTGTTTTTGAGTTTTATCTCTTCCACTGAAGCACATGTTCATGACTCTGAGGTGGATCTGATCTGTTCATCAGAGGCTTTTGTCCAAACTTGTGGAGTCCATACCAGCTTAAGTGCACGCTGTCACTAACGTATAAGAAGGACATACCAAATGTAAAGAAATTCAGTGATTCTACTTTCCATTTAAATTTTTATGTTAATAATATCATTTGTCATAGAAAAATGTTGTATTAAATAAAAAGGAATGCAAAATAGAAGCATTTTTACTAGTGGTTTCAAACGTTTGGACCCTACTGTATATTGAATAGAGAAAATAAACAACATGTATTATACTAAAATCTACAATATAATATAGTTAAATCTAAACATATCTGTTTATTTGTTTTCAGGATTTCCAGGCAGCTGCAGTGTTTTGGTGTCTCGTGTGTTTGTTTTGCTTGTGTGGTGGACATAGTTCAGCTTAATGTTGACTAGACTGAGCCCTTACATAATAGTGGCGTAATTCCACAAAAATACATTGTACTTAAACACCCATTGCACATTTTTATGTTACATGTACAACTTGTCCAACAAAACAGTTCAGTTTTAGATGTTGGTTGCATGCTTCTTACGATCCAAGTAATCCCAGCAAATTTAGACTAATCAGTGCATAAAACCTTACTCCACATCTCACATGTTCAGTTTTGGTGTTCTAGTGCAAATTTTCTGCTTTTCTCAGTAAGAGCTTCCTGACAGTAACACATCCTTTCAGACCCATAGTGTTCAGTTGTACTCACACAGTGGAAGGATAGACAGAAACTTGTGAAGATTTTTTCAGATCTGAAGCAAGAGATGAAAGCTTTAAGTACTGTTTATCAGATGGTGACAGTTTTATTGGTCTACCAGGTCTTGCATGGTTTTTAAGAGTCCCATTTTCTTTATATATATATATATATATATATATATGTATGTATATTATGAAGGCCCTTAAAGGCCTCAACCCTCACTGTGAAAGAGTGCGATTGTTTTTCAGGTTACCGCTGTGGGACATCACACACACACAGAGCCTTGCTCGTGAGTTTCCATCACACCTGTGGCTGTGTTTAACCCTGGCCTCTGCCCTCCTGACGCAGGAACGCTCCTCCAGTTATATGCCACACCCCTTCTGTGTGTTGGGCAACAAACTCATGTGAGCTGAAGCAAAAAAAAGCTAACTGCACAATGAAAAAAGACCCTAATATCAAATTACACATAGCAGCACAGTAATTGTTCCGAGGCCTTTCTAAATAATCAGGGGAGGGAACAACAGTCTTTTTCAGTTTTTTTATTTAATGTACACTATATATGCACACACACAGCAGTGTAAACTTCACTGTAAGGCAATGTTTGCTTTTTCATTACTAGGTAAATAAATTTGTGAAAAGCATCAATAGACCCTCTGTACATTGATGTTATAATGGAAGAACTAGGAAAGGCCTTAAACGACAAAGCTTTGATCAAGATTAGACCTCTTGCATATTCTGTGTACACATGCTAAAGATACATTTTCACAACAAAGAAATGAAAGGGCACAAAAATGCAGTAACATTTCTGGGTCAGTATCTATTTAAGGTGGTCATAGATCTAGAGTGCAATGAGCAAATATAAGGAGAGTAAACTTGTTTTGAAATCAACATTGTTTAATCCAGACAGAAAGATAAAGGTTAGGGGAACACTGCACGTCCTCTCAATACACATGGGCACACATAGTTCATAATAGGTCATGTTACCTTTTTAGTTACTACAGGACAATGACCGCTGAGCATATTTAACCCATCATGTCATGACAACTACACAACTAAGTAAACAACTAAATTCAGTATGATGGGGAAAATGTCATAGAATTGATTCTTATTGGTCTAAATTGGATTTTACATGTAGATATACCTTGGATGAACATCAATCAGATCATATTTGAAATTCTGATTATGTCAGTTTTTGATTATCTAATTTTAATTTATTCACAATCAAATTTGGATTTTCTTATGTTTTGTTAAAGAGGGATTCAAAGTTTCTACATAATTAATGTGTAAAGATGTTGAATTAAGTGATTAAATCTCATCTTTAAGTCAGTTTTTTTTTATCACTTTGAGAACTTTGTGCTAGGCAAGGTGGAAGAACATATAGGCCAAAGAAAATTTTAAGGTTTTGGACATTAATGGGTTAACCACAGTTATTAATCAACTAATAATCTTCAGCTCCCTGCTGGCTTCAAATCGTGCATGAAATATTGTTATTTCAGAGTTTCATACTGTAACCCTGTTACTTCATCAGGCCTACTGTTACTTCACTGGAGCAGTGCACTCATGTGGTCACTTTAGATCCTGTTTCAAATGCAACTGCAATTTACTGACCCAATTCATAAGGCAACTACAGAGTCATTTAAAGCAGAATCAGTGACATTTGTTAAGAAACACTACCTCATTTAATGCCTGCTAATAATTAGTCAATCTAAACTAGTAAAGACGTCCCCCATAGTAGGAACACTATCAGGCAATATGTCTGAACATTACCTTATCAGCATTTACAGACACTATTGCAGGGAATGCTTATCTTATCGACTGTTGACACATTTCGATCAGTTTGGTCTGTGTGAACTTGACTCTGTAAACACTGAAATGTGGAGCCTCTTTTTTTCTAAAAATGTTTTTTAAACGCCCCTTTTGCAGGTTATTTCTGCTCGTGAGTAAACAGTGTGGCCTCCACATGGACTCCAAGTCCTTGCCTAATACACAGACGACTATTCAAAGCTTTCTCAGGGCTATATGTACATATCTAAAAGTGGAGTACATACAGGCATAGCTGTGGGTCAGAAAACTGAGATTTCTGTAAGTTGTCTGTATCTGCAGCCATAAAACTTGAGAATCAGTACAGGTGATGAATCTACTGCTATTGCTATGATACAAATGGTCTACAGTGAACATGAATGGCAAATACTGTCAGCAGAGAGAAAACTAAGCATTCACACTGCAAATAAGTACCAAAGTTTTTTCAAAGTATTTCCAGACTTTTTCCAATGGTGATGTGGCTTCTCATTTCAAATCACTTCTACTGATATTCAAACTTCAGACAAGTGATCTTAAAGTTAAGATGGTCACTAAAATATTTTTAACAGCTGTCTTAACATTAGTCTTAAAAAATATGAGAAGGGATATAACATGAATTTATTAATAGTCACCTTCATAAAAAAAGTTCCTGTCTTTTTGGGGTATTCCCATGGCCTTCAGTTTTACTGTAGATAACCGAAGGCAATTGGAGGATGACATTCTTTTGTTGAAAGCCACCTTCAAAACAGTTCTTGTATTTTTGGGGTATTCCCATTGCCTTCAGTTTTACTGTATTTACATTATAAATGGACAATAGACATGGGTTATATTCATGTATTTTTTTCAGGTGTGCATTTGGTCACCTTGGGTGTGTATTGAATAATTTGTGTAACACCATAATTGCAAGGAAAATATAAGCTGGCAGGACGGCATCATAATGTGTGGAACTGTCCACACGTCTTGAAAGGAAATAAAGGAAATGGGGTATTCCCATTGCCTTCAGTTTCACTGTAGATAACTGATGCAGTGCTACAACTAACCCAATTTTTAAAGGGAAATTCCACCATTTTCTAAAAGGTTCTTCATAATTAAATGGCAAAGATGTAAACAAACACAGTCAGAGTGGTTTCATGTGACATGTGCCATTCTAGAGAAATATACTGAGTCAGAATTGTTCACAGTGGTGGTGATAGGGACCAGACGTCTGAAGAGTTTAATGACTCTAAAAGCTCCTTCAAGTTTACTGCCTGATTCATTAGACATTGTTTTACAACAGTTTTGAGGCTTTTCGCCCCATTTTGTTTATTTATGCAGGGTGTGTAGAGAGTAACACAGGCAAAATGCCTTTTTTTCTTTATGATTTATCATTATTTTACAATTATCAAACTTAGGAGACGCATGTGGGTTGGTGATTTTGGATGGAAAATAAAATGGCTATATTATCACTGCCATTGTAAAAGAAACTTGAGTTGAGAGTTTCTCTAAAATGTCCCATCAGACCACTCAGAATGACTTCATGCTTACATCTTGATGACTGAATATTGTAAAAATCGGTGGAATTCCTATTTAACCAGACCAAAAGCAAATATTTTGACTCTTTTACTTTTACTATTGTTTTCAAAGAAAACATGAAATTTGAATGGGAACCAGGAAAATGTCCCCACAACATCAACACGCTCTTGTTTTCCATCATCTTGGAGACACTGACATTTGGTATCCACAAATACCTGAATAACACACAAACACTCATACATACACCCCCACACACACGACACGCAGGCACACCCTCCTGTCTGACCACGTTCTGTTGTATCATCACTGCGCATGCCCGAGGCCCGTATTAGAGAATCTCTGGCTATATTAAGTTTTCCATGAATAAAAATACTAGAAAGACGATATTTGTTGGATGAATTTGTAATTATCTCTCCGTAATGCCCTCTGCTTAGTGTTTTGTTTGTATATGTACGTATCAGATGTGTTATCTGTATGAATGTGTATCTCGAAAAAAAGGCTCCACTGAATGAACTGAAAAGGGGGCGGAGCCTCCGTTTCAGTTACTACAGCCGGCACGGCGACGGTTACTCACTCAGAGAGAGAGAGACAGAGCAGAGTCTGATTGCAGCGGTTTTTATCAACTTTAACGTTACTTCACAAGGGAAGTCTTCATTAAAGAAGAATATCAACGACATGGCAAGAGGAGAAGGAGGTGAACAGTCTTCCAATGCGAGTCTCTTGCACAAAAGCCCTTCGAATGGAGTTAAACCGGTCGCTAAGGTGAGATATGGATAGTAACTAATAAGGAATATTCGGTAACGTTAGGTTAGCCTAACGTTACGGGAACTTGGCTAACCTAGCTATGTTAGACGTCTCTTAATACGGTGTTCTCGCCTTTTCCTTGAATCCAAGCTTGATTTATGTTATTTTGTATTTTTTATGGCGCGATGGGGTGGGCGTGGACACCGCCGGTGCATTTTTCTTCCTTTTTTCATTTTATTATTATTATTATCATTTTTTATCATTTTTAACAGAAGAACGGTGTTAATCTAGTTAACTTAGCCACTAAGTTCACGTTAGCCTACATTTCAGCAGCTTTTTTCCCCAACTTCTAAACTAACATTAGCAAGCTAACTAGCTAGTTAGTTCTCATTTGAATTTGTAACCAAACGTTAGTGTCACCGCGTTTTCATCTCTGCTGTGAATGAACAGAATTATTGGTTCCTCGGATTTGTCATTAATACGCCGTAGACCTCATTTAAAACTGTGATTATCTGGCTAAGGTAACATTTTAATTTGAAATGAGTGAGCGATACCCTAAACTGCTGCCCGTATTTATATAGCTGAAGTCACCGCTATATGCTAAGTTACAGCGAGCGGTCACCGCTTTCTTATAGGCTACGTGTCATTTGGCGACTTCAGTGAGCGCCTTCAGTGGGTCGTGCACTCCAAACACTTGTTGAGATGTTCGTCCTGTATTAGATGTGCATAGGATCAGATCTGAGAGGACTGATGAATTAATTGCTATTTGTTGGCTCTGAAGAGAAGGCTATTATGAGATTTTTTCTAGTTGTGTGCTTGAAGGTTATGTTAAGCAGATGTATGAACTCATGCTGTTTCAGCCAAATATTGTGTATTAAGGAACTCCTGTTAAAGTTCCGTTAAGGGCTCCTGAGACAGTTCTTCAGTTTTACTGGTCAAACGAAAGTGTGACTATGAGTAACCCAGACAAAACACATAGTCTAATATACTTTAACATCTTATGTTAAGATAATAATTTAATGGATAATAGATATGGGTTAGCTCTAAGTGTTTTTTTCAGGTGTGGATTTGGTTACCTTGGGTGCGTTTGACATAATTTGTGTAATGCCGTGATATCAAGGAAAATATAAGCTGGCAGGATGGCATCATAATGTGTGGAAGTACGGCCACGCGTCTCGAAAGGAAATGACTCAGTTTAGTGGACTCTTACTGATGGAGCCGCGTTGTCTGTTGTCTGTCCCAGATTTTACGTGGAAGTGAGAAATTTCATGAAAGTATAAAATCCAAACTTAGGTTGTCATGTGTTGTTTGTTGTTAAACCTCAATCTAGATGCTGTATCTCTGTAAAACAGTCAGTATCTCTATACTGGATTTTTTGCTTTTAGAAAGAAGGAAAGACCTGAAAAAACAACAATAATAATATAAACCTAATCTTTATTAAAACACATTATTATTAACTCCAGAATAGTCTCTTACTTCCTAAAATCTGTTCCAAAGTGTTGTGTTAATGTATTTCACCACTGCAATTAGGTTGTACTTCAGAACTGAACTTGACTGACCTGTTTCAGTGGGCGTGTGTGGTCAATAAACTGGCTGGCTTTTCTCATGTACCTGTATAGTTTAAAGTCAGCACAGATCAGGTATTGGAACACCATTAAGCTTGTGCAGTTGCCTGCTGAGCGAACCTGCCAGGAGTTGATACTAATCGAATAGCATAATGAATTGGCTGTTATTATGAAATGATCCCAAATATTAGTAGCTGTGTGAGTGAGAGACAGAGAGAAATTAGACCATGTTGTGGATTAGGAGCAAACTGGACAAAGCTGCATACCATTGCTACAGTTCAAACAGCATCCAGCTTGCACATGGGAAACCTAAGTCTCAGTACAGCTTAACGTCTGGTAAGATCTGGGCGTAGCAGCCTATACCACACGTATATTAAAAAAAAGAGTCTCTGCTGTCATTAACTTCCAGAGTGGCCCCAATAATAAACACAGTTCAGCTGAGATTTCTTCAAAATCTTATTTATTATTTATGTTATACATCATTAAAATATTGACTTGAAGTTTGATGTTCCTTTTTTTCAGCCTGAGAAGAGAGGTCACCTGTCAGTGTGCAGTAAGCTGTGTTATGCTGTAGGAGGAGCGCCCTATCAGATCACAGGATGTGCCCTTGGCTTCTTCCTCCAGATCTATCTTCTGGATGTTGCTCTGGTGAGTTGAATTCAATCAAATTTGATGCAGAGTGTACTAACTAAAGTCAATATTTAATCAAATGTCATAAGCAAGCTCCACCTGGACAAATGCCAAGAATAAACTTGCCACCATTTATGCACTGTTGTATTATCTTATGTATAAGTCAGCACTAGTTTGCTAAAACTGCCCACATGTTAAGCTTTGTGCAAAGCAAGTTTGAGTACATTTCCCTAGCTTTTACTGGAGAGGGTGTTTGTAACTAAGGGCATTAATATCTTGCCATAGGAGTTTGGATTATGCACTTCGGAGGCCAGGGAGTTTGCCCAAGCCCCCCTGCCTCCCCAGTCACAGGACAAAGCAACAGGCACTTCACAGCCACAATGGAAGCATTGTGCTGGAAAATAAATAGGTGGAAAAAATTCTTCTATGCCATTAACTTGTAGGGAGCTACTGTAGAATTAACAGGCCTATTGGCCAGATTAAAGAGAGTGAATACCAGCAGTTCACAGGGCACTTTTAATGGCTTTTGATGTTTGTCATGTTACTAAGGACAAGCAGACATGGCATCCAGGACCTCCTGCAGTTTGAGTTGTGATTCTCTATTCAGGCCTTTGAGTACCCACTAATTATGCTACAGTAACTGTCAGATGGGACAATTGTAGTCGGTCCAGTCCTTTTGCTCTTTGTGCAGCCAGAGTGCTTCCTAGTGGGAGAGTAAATACAATGCTAGCAGAGCTGCCTATTGCGTCCCTGAACATGTGCTCTATGATCTCATGACTCAAGGTCATCCTGGTGCTTTGAGTCCCTTTTGACTTTTGGGAGAGGTGACTGTACTTCATTTGCTTTCCAAACATGGACAGCTGTGCCAAAACTGTCTTGCAGTCAAACAGTTTGCCATGCGCTTCATGATGAATAGAAAGCAACTTGCTTTTGTGTCACACCCTATTATGAGAAAGAATGACTATGAAAGAATGTAACTAACAGTATAACTTCAAATCATTAGTTTGCTCATACATCTATTAAATCTGTTGCTTAGTGTATTCAGCCTGCTAAGTTTCTGAAGGTTACTTGCCTCATACCATAGAAAATCCAGTGCCAGACTATTACTTTGTATTGTGGCATTCCAGATTGTGATTCAGTGCAGATATTTGTATCTGAACTGAAGCATTGATCGTTCTCCTCTCTGCTCTTTAGGTGGATCCATTTTATGCCTCCATCATCCTGTTTGTGGGCCGAGCCTGGGATGCCATCACGGACCCCACAGTGGGCTTCCTAGTCAGCCGGAGCCCCTGGACCAGATTTGGAAAAATGATGCCCTGGTATGTGCCTTGCCACTCTTTATTGGATGCTTCTTGTCTTTTCTCTCAGCATGGCTCCATTGGATCTAAAAGTGCAGTTCATCTTGTATTGTATTCTCATTTTTTCAAGAAGGTTGAGCGCTTTCTTATTTAAATAGGTGTCTGAATGCGAATTCCCCAGTGTGAGGATACACCCTGAGTAACAGTGCACCCATGCAGAGGCTTCTATTTTCAATGTGATTAGTTTACCAAGTTTAGCCCACCCAGGAATAATTCTCTCCATGACGATATTTTAGTGGAAGAGGACAGTGGGGACACTGGTTGTACCCAGCTGGCTTTGCAATATCTCCCAAATGATTCTCTCTTACTGGAAGTTTGCTTTGTCCAATTGTTTCAGTGGTTTTGAAATGTTGTGGGTTTTTTTTGTTCAGATGCCAAGTGTGCTTGATGGCCTTTGCTGTAAAAGACACTTTGTTGAGGCAAAATTTGTTGCTTTGCTTCATGGGAGGGTGAGCTCTATGTTTGACTTTGAGTGCTGTGGTGGGGTAAGGAAACTGAGGACAGGTAGGGCTTGCTAGTTCAGCTAGAGTGTTATCATTTTTGTTTTGTGTTCACAGACTAGAACTCAGGTGCAAAATAGTGTTTTATAATATAACTGATAATTCAAACGCTTCCTGTACTGCTACTGTGAGTGGAAAGCAAGACTTGTTTTTTGATACATGTGAGATATTTAGTCAGTGCGTGTTTTACTTTTTCAGTGGCTGATAGATTGATTTTGGCTATTATGAGATGGATCCTCTTGAACCTGACGTTAGCTTAATTATGTAAAAGACTGGCTTAATTATATAAAATTACTTATTTTCTTCTTCTTCCTCTCCGACGTGGCTAATTGTTCCCTGCCGACTACTCTTCAGTCCTGTGCACATGGAAAAACATGTAGTGTCAAAGCCCCTAAAGCAAAGTGAATGTCTGGTTTAGAGAACCCTGGCATGATTCCCAAAAAGAATAAGGCGGGTTAGGATTGGACTCTTTCGGAGGTTGGATAAGGACAGGGGGGTTTGCTGATGCCGATTCTGCATGGTTGTCTGCTAGCAATTTTAAGGCGAGGTCACTGACCCTTGGAATACCCTTCCCCCTTTCCTTTTCTGGTGCTCAGACCCACAAGAAATGCCAGATCTGTCACTGGCAGAATCACACAAGATTTCCCTCCTGCCTCTTCTTTCTTGTGTTTAATGACGGTGTTTACCTTGACTGGTTGTACAACATTTCTACAGTGAGGTTTTGTGAACAAGCAGGACCCTGCCAAACATGCAGCCTAAATGGAAGGCGGAGGAACCTTGAGAGTAAATGGAAGTGCTGGGAAGCGGGGTGGGGGAAGGGAAAGGAATGTGACTCTATATTCTGAATGAACACTGTGTTGCATATGTAAATGAGAGTAAGCGTTGAGGAGAGAATAATTCCTCATATGCTGAGCAAATCAATCTATAGCGCTTCCAGCAGCATTTAGTGAAGCACATCCCTCCACAGGGTTTCATTAGAGGACTCATAAGGCATCCAGCAGGGTATTTGTGTCATCTCTGAGGAGGGGACAGGAATGATCATTACTGAAGGTTGATTTCCCTGAGCTCTTCATCTACAATTTATCAGGAGGTAAAAAGACAGTAAGATAAAAAGCACAAATCAGATTTTTTTTCATAGCCATGCTTCTGAGTTTAGAAAAGCTCTATCTGTGAGTGCTTGAATTGAATACCTTTTTGAAAGGGTTTCAGTTGAAACACATTGTGAGGTACTGTTTCCTCTGTTCACTTAAGAGAATACACTGAGTGAAAAAACAGCTTTGAATGATGGTGTATACATCAAGACTATTGTGTACATTTAGAATGAATGAAGATAGGAAATTATGTGAATTGATAGACAGAGTTTTTGCCTGTAGTTCAGGGAGGCGGACATATCATCTTGTGGTGTGTTTTGGGTTTGGGCGCTGTGACAGATATGCAAATCGGAAAGCCCTGAGTGGTCCAGCCTACAACACACCACCACGTCTGCTCCAATCAGAGGCCACAGCTGTGCTCTTTCTGAATTCCGTTTGCCTGAGGAATGCTTGGGGGGTCACTTTAGTTCAAGTTGAATCTGCACTCCTGCTGTGACTATGGAGAAAGAGACGTAAACTAATAAATATACTTACACACCTTCTTGGTTATGCTAATTAGTGCAAGTACTATTAAATGCTGGGGCTATTTAAAATTTTAATAAAACCATTCTGTAGCAAGACATTTATTTATGGTGTTCCTTGTCATGCTATCTATGATGGAATTTCCGAACAATAAGAGAAAAAGGATGTGTGGGTGCAGTCGTGGCGTGTATACGTGGCATTGCAACACCATAGCTGTGTAATGTGGGTCATTTGCACTCTAGTAAAAACGCTCAGAGCAGGTGACTTGAAGTCTGTGAAACGTCTATGCAGTATATCAGGGAAGCCTTTTATTTCACCTGTGTCCTTGAAGATGGTTTGGTTTTTGAATCCAGCGTATGCTTGTGAACAGGTTGTAAAAAGTCTGAGAAACGTGTCATTTTTCTCAAGCAAGGTCTTATCATATCTTTGTGAGGCCTACCCTCCATTTAGGAATAAGGAGTAAGGGCCTCTTTTTTAAAAAAAAAAAAAATATCAGGTACATATTAGGTAATGTTGCCTACCCAGTACCTTATACAAATGGTAGTTTCACAATGTGTTACAAAAGCCCTTGAATGATTTAAGTAATAGTCAAATAATTATTTTAACAAAAGCCTTCTGTTACTTTATATTTGATTGAGAACAATCCTCAGTTAATGTAGTTAATCTGTTTGTGCCTTTCTAATAAAAGAAATGGATGCTAGACAGAACTGCCAGCGGAGAGAATATTAGCCAAGCTTTGGCCAGTTATTATCTAGTCTCCCAAAGGAAATGAGTGGCAAATTCACATGTGATGGCTTGATTAAACTGTAGCCCAGTCATGCAAACCTGTTCAACAAACCAGTTAACTTGCCACTTTATCTCAGACATCTTAATTTATGACATTTCTGAATTGGGAAACGAGTACATTCCTCCCCTTTGCAACTGCATCATCCTGTCTGTATACACTGATGTCATGTGCATCAGGCCACAGGAAATTTGTAACAATTGCAGGATGTGATCTGCAACATTTTCCAATGCTGCCAACCAGGATTGCTGTTCATGATTCAGGATGACGTCACAGGCTGAGTCATTTTAAGGAGGAGTGTTCTGTAGTGGTGTGATGTGCTTGGGAGGAGAAAGAATGGCATGTTCTCATTTAAAAAAATTTCCCCCGAGGACATATTTACAAATACGCCGAGCACTACTAACTTAATTTACATGGTAGCAATGAAATGAATTAGACATTTGTTTTGGTTTTTTTTGGCACTTGATGGATTTCCCAGGTGTACAAGCTGAGTTATATTTGGCTGTTAAATCTCTTGAAGTCAGGACTAAACTTGCATTAGGCCTTCACTGCAAGTGATACCTTGACAAGTGAAATCACCTAAAATCTAGTAATACAAGGAATAAGAAAATTTAAACCAGATAAAATTACTTAAAACAAGTAAAAAGGTCTAGAAATATGTTGAATAACCTTGTACAATTTGATAATGAGAAATATTAGGTATATTAACTAGATTTAAGACAATTTCACTTATTAAGATATCTTTGTGTTAGAGGTCTTCGTTCATAGATTGTTGTTTAATGTATAGGACCAAAAGTCATTTTGTCTCCCATTCATTTTATTGCAGGATTGTTCTGTCCACTCCATTAGCAGTGGTGTGCTATTTTCTCATCTGGTACGTGCCTCCTATAGATCAGGGCAAAATCATCTGGTACCTCATCTTCTACTGTCTCTTCCAGACTCTGCAAACAGTAAGTATTATCTAGAATCGATCATGTGTCTGTATGTGTGATGGAAAATTCACTTTTGCTAATTTTGTTTCTTCGGTTTCCAAATACAGTGCTTCCATGTGCCTTACTCTGCCCTCACCATGTTCATCAGTTCAGAACAGAAGGAGAGGGATTCTGCCACTGCCTATCGTAAGTCCTGCTCAAGGCCTCATGTTCTCTAGTGATACATTAGTAGTTTGCTCCCTATGCATTCTCAGCATTGACCCTGCTCATTTAGGTATGACTGTGGAAGTTTTGGGAACGGTTATTGGCACTGGAATCCAGGGCCAGATTGTGGGGTTAGCAAATGCTCCCTGCATACCTGTTGGAAATGACCTCAACTCCTCAAGCCAGGATTTTGGACCTGAAGTCAACATCAGCCAGCCACACATTTCACTGGAGCACACAGTAAGTCATGGAGCCCACTACAGTGTTGTTCTTACATGACTCTTGATTTGAGAGATGACTGGATTTAAGATGTTTGTTGCCACTGTCATCACTTTCAAGATGTGTAATATATTGTGCTTTTCCCTTCATCCACCTTCAGAGACAGGCTTATATGATTGCATCGGGGGTTATTTGTGCAATCTACGTCCTGTGTGCGGTCACTCTCTTCTGTGGTGTGAAGGAACGCAAAGGTGAGGCAATCTCCATTCATATTTCTATAACAATAATGTATTGTCTTCATTGTCTGATATTGTCTGTCCCCTGAACTCCCAGAATTGCTTTCAGTATTATCAAACATGGATTCCATTAAGAATTGGTCACATCAATAGGTCTAAAATAGCAATCTATTTGTATTTCTGATTACTGATCCTATTTCGTGGAGTATGGGCTTTTCCACTGTTCTCAGATTACTCTGAGGCAGTAGCTGGCCATTAGTCAGTGGCCCCTGAAAAAGGCACTGGGTAAACGGAGAAGGGTACTTTCACACCAGTGAGATGCATCTGAAAAGGAGTCCACAAAAATACTGGGTCCTGCAGTTTCCCAGTTTCTTTTTGCATGCCTCAGAACGAAACTCTTCGACAGGCCAGTCTTTGTAGAGTGAGATGTGCCCAGGGGAGAGACAAGCACAGCACGGGGTCTGTGTACAGTGAAACCGCAGTGTCAACTGAACAGTTTGGACATTGTTAAAGGGGTCCTGTGAAACTCACACAGAAATGAGCACTTCATCAAATAATAATTATGGAAAAGTGTTTCTAAGTGTTTGCAGTTGTCTCATGACTGTTTTTTATTTGTGTATTTGGCTTGGCAACCACTCATTCTGCATGTGAGTCAAACAAGTCCTCTGCTCGCTGTAATGTATCTTGTCTTGGCAGACACCACCCGGGTCAGAACGGAGCCCATGTCCTTCTTCCAGGGCATCCGTTTGGTAATGGGCCATGGTCCGTATGCAAAATTGGTCATGGGCTTCCTCTTCACCTCTCTGGCTTTTATGGTGAGTGCTGCTCCATGCTGCGTTCTTCCTGCTTTGCTTAACAGTGTTTGATTTTGAGGGTTAAGCCATAGACCACCATGGTTTGCCTTAGCTATTTCTGACAGGTGTTTTATTTATTAGGATTTGCTTATACCTTTAGAATTTATCTCCATACAGCTCCTGGAAGGCAACTTTGCCCTGTTCTGTTGCTATACCCTGGGCTTCAGAGATGACTTCCAGAACATCCTACTGGTCATCATGGTAAGTTTTGTAATCTCATGGCACAATAGCTATGATGAGATGAAATTAAAATCTGCTAATACTTTGTGTCACATTACCAGTTTTGGTACTGGTTTTAAATCACGTTACAGTGTAATTCTACATATGTGTACATGTATATCTTTCTCTCTAATTGTTGCTCCCTTGATAACAAACTGGCCACACCTCAGACTGCAACTGACAGCAGTTCTCTGTGAGAACCAGACTGACAAATGAGTTATTTGAGGTATAAAGAAATGTACTATTATTTTAAACAAACACTGCTTCTCTAAAAAAACTATCTGTGTTCAATATGAACTCAAAACCACAAAGAGTCTACACTTCAGAAGAGAGCAACTTGTAAGGTCTGCAACCTGTTATTTGAATGCAGTGTAATGCACTAAAATGCAGTCTGTCATTTGAATTCAGTGAAATGAGAAGTTGCTCAGCCATTTAAATTCACAGTGACAGTGCTTTGCACAAACATGCAACATTTTAGATTGTGCAGAGAGATATTTCTCTCTGTGGTACTTTGCTGAAGGTGAATTTCTGCAAAACTGGGGCAACTGTGAGAAAGCACTCTCTCTGATCAGGCTGCATGCTTGCACTGCTGATGAGAATCTGAACCACAAAAAGAGCAAGAACATCATTCTAACTTTCAGTGAGTCAGCGGTGGTAATGCATCATGTTGCTCACATATGTGTGCTTTACAGTACAGCTTCAAATCAGTGGCCCTGCAAAAATAAAAAGTCACAGTTTCTTAGGCGTTAATTCATGAAACAAAAGTCAAAGTCACAGACTACCCCTAATGTATCCCTCTTTTCTTTCTCCAGTTTTCTGCCACCCTCACCATCCCATTCTGGCAGTGGTTTCTGACTCGATTTGGCAAGAAAACTGCTGTGTATTGTGGGACTACAGTAAGTGTTGGAGAGACTGTTTCAGTAGTAAGACTTACAGTAGTGTTTGAAAAAAGTATAGTGTTTTTATGTGTATTCATAATGCTACATCAAATGACTCAAAGCGCCATCTGGTGGTTGATGGTAATAATTACCGCTGGTTAATTTCCTGATGTTTGTTTGTGCAGTCAGTGATTCCTTTCCTGATCGGAGTGGTCCTGCTGAAAAGTAATCTCATTGTGACGTACATCATCTCCTTTGCTGCTGGAGTGAGCATTGCTGCAGCCTTCCTCTTGCCCTGGTGAGTCTCAAGCCAAACGGTAGCCATGGACACCGACTGATAAGTACAAGATAACCAAACTGCTTATGAGGAAGAGAAGTGTATATACGGATCTCCAAAATAGTATCTTTACAGGAGACGCCAAAAACGTTTAATGTAAATTAAAGATATTAAATTTCAAGTAATATTGGAACATTTGTACTATTTATGATGAAACACATGTACCTCCACTTCATTTTGTACTTAATTTGAGCACAGCAGCTCATATATGTATATACACATATATGATGTGTGTGATGCTGTAGAACTCATGCCATGCTGAGAAAACTATTTCCAAATGTATGTGCAGTACATTACATGTACGTTCGATGTACTACTTCAGGTCCATGCTTCCTGATGTGGTCGATGATTTCAAAGTGCACAATCCTGAGGCTCAGGGACACGAAGCCATTTTCTACTCCTTCTACGTTTTCTTCACAAAGTTTGCCTCTGGAGTCTCCTTGGGAATCTCAACCCTCAGCCTTGAGTAAGTCATCCCACCAACTCTCACGTCCTACATCCTTCCTTTTTGATTGTACTGTATGTAATCCTGTCTGACTGTAAGGTGGTTTAAGCCTTTGAAGTGAGATTTCACTGTCTGACTGAGCTTATGAGACTGCCTTTTGTTACACATTCACTCTGACAATCGATGACCTCCTAACTTTGATATATAATCCGATTACCCCCAATCAGTGAGGAGCCCCTCAGACCAATCTCCATATAGGACTCATTTTCACACGAAATTCATCGCTGCTTTGTGACGAGTCACAAGGTTGGCTTAAAGTGGACAAGTATGACCAACTAATGTTTCTGTTGTTTTCTCTTGACCTTTTTTTAAATAGTTTCGCTGGTTATGTGACGAGAGGCTGCTCACAACCAATAGAGGTGGACATCACATTGAAAGTTCTTGTCTCTGCGGCTCCCATTTTCCTCATCATTATAGGACTGATCATATTTATTACTTACCCTATCAATGAAGAGAGACGTCAGGGCAACCGCAAGCTGCTAAATGAGCAACAGTAAGGCTTTCTATAGACTTTATGCATGCTTTTGCCAAGTAACACATTTTTCTTAGAGCTACATCTTTGAAGACCACCAGAGTTTTAGAGTTTCCTGTCTTTAAAAGACCTGACCCCCACTAGATAATGAACCAATGAGTTGGATCAGCTAAAAAGAACACTAGACTGCAGATTGCACCTTGGCTTAGCCTATCTGTAGTTGTGTACATTTAATACCTTGCTGTTAAGCAAGAGGAATGCTTAAAGACACTTTCTTAATTCTGTTTATTTTTCATAAGCATTTCCACTGATTCTCTGCTCCTCTCTGGCTCCTTCTTTAGGGGGAATGAGCTGGACTCAGAAGCGGACTCAACAGAGACAGATGGAAGTGTGGTATAATTCCATAGGACTCTAAGGAGGACGTTCTGACACCTACTTTGGACGATTGAATAAGGGACCCTCAAAGGCAAGATGAATCACGCATGACAGCTTTAAGCCAGCCATGCTTACCGACTGTTGTCACCTGGCCTATTTACCTCTACTCCCCTTTACAACAACCTCAAGTACAGCATTTCAGAGATCCAGTTTACTGTGCCTTGTAGTGCTAAAAAGCCATGAAACCACTGGAAGGTCCCCAAAGACTCCGCTGTTGTGTTTCTCCCTCAGATGTGGACAAAACCTTGAAATGTGACGGGAGCATATGCCTGTTTTGGTTCATGTTGCCTACATTGGTGCTACTCCCTGGAGCAGGACTGAAACGTCCAGATCCTGCATTTAGCTTAATGTGAAAAGCACAAGACATTCACACTGCACTAACAGATTCTTCAGATGTCTGAGACTGAGGAGAAACTTGAATGCTGAAATTTGATGGCTCTTGTGGTGTTACTTTCAATCACATTGTACCCAACACATCCAGGGTACCTTTTTAACTGAAAGTATGAATCAAGTATATATTGTTCATAAATCCAGTAAGGTATTTTGTACTGTCTGTTGCCAAATACCGGCAGTGTACATTTCATTAACACTACACACTACCTGTTATAGTTTACAGATTAAGGCCATCAGCCTTCATTCTAATACACAAACCAGTGTGCTGCCTCAGACTGGGAAAAAAAATCATGCTGCACATTAAACACATGACAAGTTCAAGCAGCACCCAGTCTGTCTGAGGCAAAATACAAACTGCTGTCAGACAAGCGAGAAAGTGAAATACTTATACAGCTGAAGCAGAGCATCTTTACCATTTGAGTTACCAAGAAATCAGGCACCAATTTTGACAGTGCTTGGACCTGTGCAGTCAACCGCTTCCTGAAGGAAGTGAAAAGTTATTTAACTATTTAATGTTTTTATTTTAATATCATTATAGTCTAATTTTGCTGCTCTCTAATATATGTCAACTCTTTGGCCTATTTAAGGGAAAAGAACAGGAAAAGTAAGACTATATATAAAGAGTGTGAGTGTGTGTGCGTGTATGTATATAGTGGAGTTAACTGAATGATGGGTGTTTTTACATCTGAATTGTCTTGTGGTGTCAAGTGATTTTAACTGGTCAGTTCATTTTTGTGCAAGTATTGTCCTTTATGTACATAAAAATCAGTTGGCTCCCCAGAAGTGCTTATATATGGTAATAAGGGAAGCATTAGTGTTTTGTTTTAGTATTGATTTGAATTGATGCTTCACTTACCTGTACCTTTTGCATTCATTCATATGAAAGTTATTTTGTTAATTCTGATAAATTAACAAGTGTTCCTGCTGTGACATTAATCGCTACACTTGTGACTGGTTTTAAGGAGATTTTTCTCCATTTCATGTCCTAACTTGGATGTGGGATGTCTTGTAAATATACATTTGCATATGTTGTCATATGTCATACATATATTAATGTGTTCACATATGATGCACATCAGTCTCATAACTGTACTTTATGATTTATTGGAGATTATGTTTTGTATTTCTGCTGAATTTTTGTCAATCATAAGGTACTGGCTGTCTTGCTAATACATGGACATCCACTGAGCATTCTCCGCCCCGTTGCTGTGTAAGTGTTTTTGTGTACATATGTGTAAATAATGTATGTATAGTGCTGTGTAAATACTTTTTTGTGTTATTTACTGGGATGACCCAGACACGTTTATGTAATTATTTATGACAAACAATTAAAAGAAAAACGGAAGCAGAAATGATTAATAAATACTAATTGATACATTTTTGCATTGTGGTATTCTGTCTGTTACATGTGCCTGAATCACAGTAAGATTCTTCCTGATATTTCTTCCTAGCATATCATTAATTTGAGCCTTACTTTATGTCGTTTTACTCCATTGTGGCAACTTATTTATGTCATTTGTAGTTATATTTCATTCAGCTTTCACAGTCACGTCTTTGTTGCACTCAGGTCTAGAATAGTTTAAAAAAAAACACTTAAAACTCAATACATTTTGCAAGATTTATTCCACATTTAGGAAACTCTGACTCCCATATTGCTGGACCCAAATGAACTAAAGAGAAAGGATTAATTGTGTGCAACAACTATGAATCATTAAAAAAAACATCCTCTAGGTCAGAAAAAATGTAAATTGTCCCCAGGAGCTCTGTGTTTAAAACCTACCTATTTGCTTAAACTAGACAACTGGCATCCTTTCTCTGCGTCAAGTTGATTAAGACTTGGGCTCAGTTTCTGAGCTGCTGAGCTGATGTTAAGTGTTTATATTGGTTAAACTGCAGCTGTAATGCATTATGGTGATATGACTGGTGTGGAATTGCTCAGAATTGTGTAGAATTGAGGTGTAACCGCTGTCCTATAGACTTGTTGGGGTAGGAGAGTTGGAGCACATTACGGTGCAGTGCATGCTGGGGACTGTAGTGCAGCACATTGTGAAATGGGTTAATAGTAATAGAAAATTAAACTTTTGTGGGCCGGATAGGATTGTGTGTCGGGCCTGATCTGGCTCACAGGCCTTGTGTTTGACACATGGGCTCTAAGGGGACAAGTGCAATTAGACCATAGCAGCAAAATACCCTGCCCACAGCATAACACAGCCTTTGGACTCTCTCACTGTAGAACTCAGGCCTGCACTGTAATCTTGGAGTACACTACACATGCACTCGCCCACTTGTGCAGAATATGGTGAAGGATGACTCATCTGACCATATCACTTTTTTCCGCATCTCTGTAGGTCAGTGGTCTGTGGTTTTTGTACCCCTGAACTCTCAGATGTGTATTTGTCTTTGTAATGAGGAGTTTATGCACCCCTACCCTACAATAATAGACCTTTCTATGTAGTAGTGGATGGACTGTCCTTGTTCACTGTCTGATCACCTCTTGCATTACCATTTTTATTATCAGTTACTCTTCTCTTTAATAACATATCACACCAGTGCACAAATATCCTGGTCATTGAATGCAATTTGACCCACAGATTCCAGCCCTATTCACTGATGTCTAGTCTCTGTTCCTATTGAAAGTCTTTGTAGCGGAAGCTCCTGCCATCCCTGTCCCAATAATGAACCTTCTTTCAAAGCCACCTAGATATTTTCTTCTTGCCACCTTGATCCAAAATCGAGCTCAACTGGGTCTGCTCAGCCTTTTTATACATACCACAGAGGTGTGATGTTGATGTGATGAAGATGCTCATTTGTATCATGCAATGCACATTTTTTGGAAGCGTCTGCATTTGTTTCTGTCCAATACTGAATATTATAAATCCTATTAAATATCTCTGGTGATATTGACTGGCACAACCACTTGATTGGGAGGTCTTCGACGAACAAATGACCATCCTGTCCACTCTGATGCTGTCGCTTCATCTGCCTTTGCTCGCCTGCCTTCTAGTTCGGCCACCATGAAGGCTCCTGCATGTCCAGTCACTTTCCTGCTGAGCAGAGAACTTCATCTGCATGCCTCTGGTTGTGTGTTCAAGTATGGACGTGATGTTTACAAGTTATGTAACTGTTGAACAGGTTGGGTGGGTAACTGGTTTTGCGGGTGAGTCACTGATTAATAATCTCAGGCGGGATGGTGTGCATGTTTTCCTTTTGGAAATGAGAATGACATTTGTGTTTTGTTCTTTGGCAGCCAAGTCAAAGTAAAGCTGTATTATGGGCACGAAACTTCAGGTTGTCTTTGCCTTTTCTGTGTAACCCCTGTGTTATTGCAAATAATGGGCCTCTAACAGTATGATGATCATGGATTAGACTCATATTCTCAGTGTGATGTCCTAATAGGAGTCACTGGCTTTCGTAGATCTATTTGTCATTGTTATTCTGAGAAGCCTCCATCCGTAGTCAGTGACTGTAATAGTAACACTGTTAGTCAGTAGCAGTGACTGTTTTTCATATATCTGCTTCTCATTTCTTGCTCTCATAGGCCTTTATCACTGGTTAATTTAAATCAGGGGTGCACAACTCCGGTCCTGGAGGGCCGGTGTCCAGCACAGTTTGGAGGTTTCCCCACTCAAACACACTCACTAAACCTGGCAATTAACAGATAAGTGTAATCTGGAATCGTTTTCTTGAAGACATTCAGTAGAAGAAGATCTGGCTAATACCCAACCAATACTCATTACTAATAAAGTTTTAAAAAGCGTCATATAAAATCTACCCAGCTAAAAAATTAATTAATTTTTCATTCTATAGCAATTACCCAGACACAGTTATTCGCTTATTTTGGCTTTGTCGATATGTTAAAAAGATTACCTTGAAAAGGAGATTGAATTAATCCAGCACTTTTCAAAACAAAAAAAGCTAAAAACCTGTTAAGGCATGTGAGCGCTTTTTTGTGTAGTTATGTATATTACCCTTGCTAATTTGTTTATGTATACGTACACTGTCATATGAATATTTTCATGCCTCTGGTGTTGTACATTATGTTTCGCTTTCGATAAAAAAGGAATCGCGGGACGCGGTTAAAAAAAAGACGCGTGCAATCTTTATCGATTATTCACCCTGAGGATTTGACTCGATAATAGATTATACAGCGCTGATGCAATACTGTGACTTAAGACCTCTTATGTTAGTTACAAATAAAAATCATCTGCTTTATCTTTGGATGCTAATATTGTTGGGTTCGGTAGTCGTTTTTGTTAAATGATTAGAATCTTTCTACCGCTATTTAAAAAATTATAACAAATTACATGTGTATTAAAGAGACTTTTATTTTGAAAGACATGACGTAACCGGCAGCAAGCTACACGTCTTCTGAATCGGCAGAGACTCGGAGACCCGGTACGGATTTTTTCAGCTCTCTATAATATTATACATTATTTTATTTATCTAAAGACTTCATGAATATGTCTTTATACGTTGTCGTTGCCTCTCATAGCAAACAAACCTTAAAAAGAAGCCAAAAGGCGAATAGGCGGCTCTCAGCTTCATAAGCAGTTAGCATATGTTATTTCAGGGAAGTCCAAGCGTTCACTAGCCGGCATCGCGCCGCTGTAAATCAGTCTTGATTTTGAGATAACACCAGCGTGTAGACACTATATTTTCCATACAGTTAATTAATATTAATTTTAAGTGGTGATTTAAATCGTTAAATATTCATGTTGCGGAATGGCTTTAGGTCTGTGTTTATGAGTAGCAGTAACGACCACGGTAAAGTTAGTTTTATTTTCGATATTCGTCTTTTTGATCGGACTACGGTAGTCAGCGAAGACTTGCACATTCATGACAGTACGACCACAGAGAGTGATGCACACCTGTTCTTTTGCAGTTTGGGTGACATTTAATGTACCGCTGTTTTGTGTTAATACCATGTCTTTGAACAGAGTTTTCCTCCAAAGCGTTTCAGTGCATTTAAATACATATTTTAATTGTTCATGCTAACAATAGACACCATAAAACGTCAATAGCTCCATAAACACTGTGTCCATGCACATCTGATTAATTGTGTTATTTGCTCTAAATTATGGTTAGAAATACACACCACTTTAATTTAGAAAAAGGACTTTGAATAAACCTGTAACTAAAATGTACTTGCCAATAATTGTCCTAATAGTATTTTTATAATTTTTTAAAGTATTTTGAATTTCTATAATATTTCAGCTAAATAATATACAACATTAAAAACAGCTGTATATGGTGCAGCAAGGTGTCAGCAATGATGCACAGCCTTTGGATTTTTGATATATTGCTGTAACTACGTTTTATTAATTTTTATATATTTTGAATTACAATAATATTTCAGATGAATTACATACAATATTAAAAACAGCTGTGTATGGTGCAGTGAGGTGTCAGCAATGATGCACCACCTTTAAATTTTGGATATATTGATTTAACTTTTATCAATTTTGAATTTCTTTAGCATTTCAGCTGTATTACACCCAACACAAACAAACATACAAATTGTGTATGGTGCAGGTAAGTTACAGCAATCATTCACAACTTTTGAATTTTGAATGCACTGCAATAATTACTTTATATTAATATTTGTATTTTAACCTTCAAAGCATTTCAGCTGCATTAATTGCAGTGAATGTGGCATTTTGAATCTAAGCAGTATTTTAGCTACATTATATCCTCAAGTAAAATTCAAAATTTGTGTGTCATTACTGAAACTTATCTGCACCAAACACTGCTGATTTAAATGTTCAATATCTAAAATGTTATCGAAATTCAAAATGAAAAAAATGTACAAAATTTAACTTACATCTGACTCACTGAGTGTTTGATGGATTTAAAAAACTTTTGATTTGCAATTTGATAAAAAATATTGAACCTTCAAGACTGCTAATCGATTACTGAACCTCCGTCATCAAGCTAACTAGCTATATCAGTATACAGGTAATATCAGTTTTTACAGGTAAGGTATGCTCAATACTATAAGGACAATTATTGGCAAGTACATTTTAGTTACAGGTTTATTCAAAGTCCTTTTTCTAAATTAAAGTGGTGTGTATTTCTAACCATAATTTAGAGCAAATAACACAATTAATCAGATGTGCATGGACACAGTGTTTATGGAGCTATTGACGTTTTATGGTGTCTATTGTTAGCATGAACAATTAAAATATGTATTTAAATGCACTGAAACGCTTTGGAGGAAAACTCTGTTCAAAGACATGATTTTCCTTCCGACTGAAAAACTTGTCTCAGTTCTATGGTATTAACACAAAACAGCGGTACATTAAATGTCACCCAAACTGCAAAAGAACAGGTGTGCATCACTCTCTGTGGTCGTACTGTCATGAATATGTAAGTCTTTAC